GCATCGGAGTGTCTACCCCGAGTTCCACCTCGGGGCTTTGCAGGTCATTCCGAAGTGCAAGCGCGGACTGAAGAAGGACTTCTGGTTTGGTGCAATTACATTGGCGCCGTCTGTGGGAATTCGAACTAAAAGTTTTCTCGTTGCTCTTCCATTATGGTCTACACTCGATCAGTTAGAGCTAGTAATTCATCTCTGCCTCATGGACAGGGTCAACCCTCCAACAACTTTCCACCTCAGATCCCACCTCAGATTCCACCTCAGATCCCACCTCAGATTCCACCTCAGATCCCACCTCAGTTTCCACCTCAGATCCCACCTCAGTTTCCACCTCAGGTCCCAGTTACGTTCCCTCCTAGTGATCATGTAGAAGGAGGAGATGAAAATCAACCTCATGCCCCAGCTCATAACTCAACTTCCACTGCCAACCAAGATGTAGTGACAGCTCAGCTTGCTGCCATGCAGCAGCAGTTTGGTGTTTTTCAGTTGGTACTGGCTCAACTTTTGGCTCGAAACAATCCTGGTGATCCCCTCATTAACTTACTAAATCCTGCTCAACAACCCCCAGCTCCACAACAAAATCCTTAACCAGTCCAACCTGCTCCTGCTATTAGCGAGTCTCAGGCTCAATCCCACATTGCACCCGCTCAACAGCCTATCCCTGATGATGTTACTCGCCGCCTCGATAGCCTGGAAAAACTGGTAGCTGAACACCGAGGTGCTCCACCCCCACACCATGCTACTGATTCTATACCTCACCCACTGAATACCAACATTACTCTAGAACCCTGTCTTGTTGGCTTCAAGATACCACAACTGGAGACTTATGACGGGACGAAGGATCCCGATGACCATTTACATGCTTTCTACTCCTGCATGCAAGCTCAGAATGCCTCTGACGCATTGATGTGCAAGATCTTCCCCTCTACTTTCCGAGGTAATGCCCGAACTTGGTATTACAGCTTACCTCCGAGGTCAATTAGCTCGTATACAGAAATGGCATCTGCCTTTGCCACTAAGTTTTCCAGTAGAAGGTTGATCAGGAAAACTACTTCTGAGTTGATGAGA